GTGTGTGTGTGTGTGTGTGTGTGTGTGTTTATTTGAATCCCTTTTTGTTGTATTCTCCTGCCCAGCTTTTTCTTAAGTAGAAGTTCACAGTCCTGTGATAAGTATTTTCAGTTCTTCCAGCTTCCATCCTCTCCCTCCTTGCTTCCACATTTCCACCCAGGCATAAGGGCTGTCTCTAGGTGATTTTGTTTTGAATATTATCTTTGGCTTCTTACTGTGGAAAAGTAAATTGTCTCTGCTCTCTCCTTCCCCACCACTCCCCATTTCCACCCTTTTTACCCTTCATCCTCCCAACAGGGTATTATCACAGATTTAAATCTGCCATGTTGCATTATTATGAACTTGTGAGCATTATCCATGGCTGAGTGTATAGCATTTTATTTCCTGGTGGCAAGAGGCAGTAAATGTCTTTTGGACTTTTTTTTTCCTGCTTGGGTTGGCATTCTGTGCATCAGTGTACACTTGAGGTCATAGTCCACACTCTAAGTCAAGTAAATCTAGTGCACTCAAAACCACCAGTCAGCATCCTTCCTTGAAACTATTCCATTTCCTCATTCCAAGAGGAGTATGTTGCCTTTGGCTGTGCGATTGTCATCCTGGTTGGTCATCCTCCCTCTCTGCTGTGTCATGTACCCTTGTTTCTAGCTCATTCTATGAGGCACACTTTCTAATTGATTGATTAAATAAAACAGAATGAGCTAATGGCGAGATGAAGCTATATTATGTAAGTGCAGGTTTGTTAGGAGCAGCGTGGGAGGAAGAGGGAGAATGCAAGCTGGGGGCAGGAAGGATGGTGGGGGGAAGGGAAAGAGAGGGAAGAAGGGGGAAATGGCAGGAAAAGGTGTTTGGATTATACAGTGAGGAGCCTCTGGGAGAGGAGAAGCTCTGCCCCTAAGTAGAGGGCAGGGTGTGCCAGCCACGTCCCTTCCCACAGCAGGACTTTAACATCCCAGCCTTTTGTTGATAATAAATGGATAACAAGCAAAGAATCTTTTCTGGATACTTCTGGCTGACATTGGGGGCACTGATTTTGGGGGTTGCGCAAAGAGCTGGAATGTTGGCCAAGTCCCAAGAGCAGGCTGTTTTATTTGCCCAGGATCTGTGAGACCATCTGCAGCTAGGAAAATGGAGGTTCAGATGATATAGTCTGTGAAGTTTGGGCCAGAGCTGAGTTCTAGATGTGCTCTTGAGGAAACAGGATGCTGGAACATATATATGTTAGGGACAGAAGATAAAGTCAAGTTTTTTAACTTTAAGCCCTATGGACTTTTAGGCCCATGGTCTTGGTAGTTAGAGGAGGGAAGTCCCAAAACCAGGGGAGGAATCCCACCCTCAGGAATAGGTAGGCTGGGAAACAGGCTGTTGATTGTCAGTACTTATCTAGAGCCTGACCTGTGGATTCCAGTGGGTCTCCTGAAGCTAACAAGAATCTTTTTAAGTTTATAAAATGAGACAAATTGGCTTGGGAAATAATTAAAAATCTGATTAATGTTAAAGCTCTAAATAGTTTATACAACAGTAGCATAGTGGGGGAAAGAGTTTTTATATACCTTAAATTACTTTCTAATCACCAACTTTAAAATACCTTCTCGGGGCTGGAGAGATTGCTCAGTGGCTTTAAAGGGACTGTGTAGTCTGGCAGATCTTGAACTGGAGCTGCAAACTTAGAAAGGAGGGAAACAGATATTTCCCTAGAACGCCCTAAAATAAAGGGCTTTCACGTCTTTAGCAGAGTAAGATTAACTCAGGACTTCAAACACCTAATGAGTGTGTGTATGTCACTAAATTAATAAATATGCCACCAATAGGGATTAAATACAGATTTTGGCACCCCAAATTGTTCAATCTGTCCTATTTCCTTTCAGTTCCAAGACTGATTTGTGGGTACTACAGAAAATAGACTATACTTAGCTAGTCTCAAGTGGACCATGAGCAGTACCCTCCCAAGTGAAATAATGTAGGAGAACAGTTTAGTCAATCAAAATGATTTTTCTGGCCCCAAACTGCCTTCACAAATGCTGGAAATATTTGAGTAACTGTTGTACAGGCTGGGAGGATTTTTAAAAACACGGGACAGAGAAGGCTTAAATTGCCTTCAAATGGTTAATAAAACATGGACATAAGCCAGAAGTGAAGAACATCATAAACTCTGTAGCATCTTAGCTATATCTAAGTTATCAGAAACTGTAGGAATACAGGTGTCAAAAGCACTGCTAGGGAGGACCCAAAATAAAGTGAGGAACATGTTTGGATACTGGAGGACAGGAAGCTCATAGTTACATAGTGATAAAAAGCTGAGATAAATTGTTTTCTACAGTTATACAGGGAACACTTGGCATTTAACAAATCAGTTATACTTAGTTGGGATTGCCAAACCAGCCACTGAAGGAATGATTTCTTGTTGCATTAACAAAGCATAAAAAAAAAAAAAAACTATTAAAACCAGAACTAACACTATGATTTGGGGGATTTTCAGCCTATCCAGACTGTGAAAGATGCTGAAGTACAGGGCCATTGTGGGGGAACACATAGTTTGTGTTGAAGACAGCTATGTGGCTGTACATACTTATTTTAAAATATATATTAAAATTTCTTAAATTATCGTAAGATGCACATAAAATTTCTCTTCTTAGCCATTTTTAAGTAGGAGCATCATTATCTTAGTGTTTGAGGAGTGAAAACAAAAAATGTAGTCATAACAGCGAGTGTTTTGGAAAGTGCTGTGATTCATGGATCCCTCACACATCTCAGAAAACAAAAACAGTGCAGGATTGCTTAGGAAAGATCGATGGATGAAGCTCTCTTGTAATGGAGTGAATCATTGTGAACCACAAAGCATTTAAGGCTGTCATACCAAGGAACACTAAGTAGGACTAAAGGAATAGAGAAAAAGAAATGGTTTTAAAAATAGACCTGGCACCAGGCATGGTGGCTCATGCCTGTAATTCAAGCACTCAGGATACAGAGGCAGGTGGATCTCTTTGAGTTCAAGGCCAGCTGGTCTGCAAAGTGAGTCCAGTACAGCTAAGGCTACACAGAAAAATCTTGTCTCAAAAAGAAAAGGAAAGAAAAGAAAAGCCAAACAAACCAACAAACAAAAAAATAGACCTGGCAGTGCAGGGTCAGGGAGGAAGGCTGTTGGGCTACCAAAACTTTATGGGCAGGAAACAGACCTGTAAGATCATTCCAGGACAGACATGCACTACCCTTTATAAAAACTGATGGTTTTCAGTGAAGCCACAGGTATAGAGGGCACAGACAAGAACCACACACCATTCCTAGGCTTTGAACCTTATGGGTGGACTTTGGATATGACTGTTTGGTCACTCTGTTTTGCCTTTCGTTTTCTTCCTTTGTGAAGGACAGTATCCACAGACATTACCCTACACCTGCCCCATTCGTTCTGGAGCACAGCACTTGCTTTCCAGTTTCAAAAGTATACAGATAACGTTGTCCCAGAATACAGTACGATCAGAGCTAGACCCATTTGTAATTTAGGTAGTTCAGATGTGAGGTTTGGGACTTGAATTGATACTAAAATAAGTTCAGAACTGTGGGGGACATTAGAATGGGTGAAGGTATTTATCATATGGGACGGATGTGAGTTTTTGAAATGGAAAGGATTAACTATAATCAAGCTGAAATGCCCCTCACAGATGTCCACACTTGTATTCTGCAGACCTGGGGCTGTTGCCTTAATGGTAGTACAAAAGTGATATACATATATATCAAAGAGCCAAATCCTTAGGGTCTGAAATACAACTTACAGTTCACAGAATTATATTGGACCCCATGCTCCAAACCCCTCCATGTGACAGATCAGGCCAGGTGTTACCTTTGCTTCAGTGGGTCATATATACCACAGAAGAACCCCAACTTTTACTACACTAGGTTTTTCTCTAGGGAGATTCCTGGAACCTAAGAAAAGATTTTTTTTTTTTACCAAGTTTCTAGAGGCAAGTCAGGTAGGGGGAAGAAAGCTTTTATCTTTGTGTGTGTCTGGCATAACTGTGTGTGTGCACGTACAAGTGTTTGTGCGCCCCTAGGTGCTTGCATGCATGTGAGTGTGTCTACATGTGTGTCTGTGTAACTGTGCCCTTACCTGTATGGGAGCATGTGCAGGCAAGAGGCAGATGTCAGCTCTTCTTAATCACTTCCCTATGATATTTTCAAAGGACATGGTCCTCAATAACACCCACAGATTCAAGGTCTTGCAACTCTTCTTCAGTGAATACGAAGAAGTTGTAATAAGTCACTTGCTTCTTCAGGTAGCAGGCTTAACTCAGTTCTTGATTTCCAGTCTTTTACCCAACTGCTTCCTTAACATTAAGCACTTAAATTTCTCTTCTGGAAAGACACAGTTAAAGGTCTGAGCCAGAGAAGAAAGATGTAACAACACTTTGAGTTCTTTCAAAGTGTTTCCATTAACAATATTCTCTATAAATGTTACATAAATATTGGAAACATATGTCAGTGTAAATATGTCAACATTGTTACACAAACATCTTCAAAATTATTCCTAAGTGAATTTTTTTTTTCAATGAGAAAATGTGAATCTCATACTTTGCTTAGTATTTTCTTTTGGGAAAGCCTACAAATCTTATTGTGCTAGAGTAGGTAGGTATGAGTAATTTCAATTTCTGGACCAAATATTTCAAGAAATTCAATAAATTTCCTTGAATA